CTTGGATTTGCGGGAAGTTTAAAACTTGTTCAGTTTGCTTTTTATTCATCTTTTTGGGAGTGATATTCATCCACTAAGGAGCATAAGCCATCTTCATAGAGAGGACGACCAAATTCATCATATTTTCCTTGGAGGGGTTGGTCTTCTAAGAGTTTGATAATTTCTTTACACTTTTCCACGAGGTTGTAAAGGGTGTCGGAGTCTCAAGTTTCAGGTTCAGCAGGATTAATGACTTGGGCTTCGGTGATTTTGTTTAATAGTTCTTGTAATTTATCTAATTTCTTTTCAATTTTTTTGGGGAGTGATTTTTTAGGCATAGTCTTTTAGGTTTTCTTGGGCCAGAATTTTCATTACCGTTCAGGTGAATTCCTCTTCGCTGAGTTCTTTTTCTCTCAGACGACGACACAGTTCATTCAGTAATTCTTGGTTAGTAATCGTTTGGAATTTATTCATTTTGCGAGGCTTGATAGTCCAGGAGGTGTTGCTGAGCCTGAGGACAGACATATTTTTCCTGAGGGTCCTCTTGGGCTCGTTTACAACCTCAACAGCCATTTTTATAGATTAATTGGGTCATATTGGTAAAAATGTTAAGTTAGGTTAGGTGATTTTGTTAAGTTAGATAGTAATTAGGTGGGTTTGGAGTGGTTTAACTTAACCAAAGTGGTGATTGTGTTAAGTGATTATTCAGGAGATTTTCTTGTCGAAATTGTTTTGGTGGAAGTGAAGGGGATTTACCCCTTGTTCCTTGACTGTGCTAAGCAAGAAGTCAAGACCAATAACACTCCCTGATAGTTAACTCCCTTTAATCCGCTTATGAATCTAATAATATCCAGTCATGGCTTTGGGCGGGAGTTAAAGTGGAACCCAAATTAAATAATTTCTATTTGTTGGACTTTAAAAAAAGTGCCGGGCTGATCTTTATTCGGTAATTCTTGGTAAGTGATAAGAACTTGACGATTGATGAGGTTGTGGGGGGCATTAGTTAAAGTTTGTCAGGTCTCGGAGGGTAAACTGAAACTGAAGGCATAAAAATAACGAGCAGGTCAGCCTTGGAGCGCCAGGCGATAATAAGGATGACCATTTTTATCGGTTTTGGATTCAATATCAATAATAAGGGCTTGGAGTTGGAGTTGGGACATATTTTTATAATTCAATAGATACTTGGGGTTTCGGTCTTTGACAGTGTTGACAAGGTTGGCCAGTAATGGTTCTTTGTTTTCAGTCGAAGAGAATGATTTCTTTGAGGGGTTTGAGTTGTTTACAACTTGGGCATTTGCTTTTGATTAGATAAAAGAGGATAATAGTGGCTAAGAATAAGCCAATTATTATTCCGAGGATTAGAGTGATGAGAATAATTAGCATAAGTTTTTTGATATTTGATTTAAGAATAAACAATTACAAATTATTTATTTCCCTTAGCGGACCAATCTAGGCGGGAGCACCAAGCAAGTGCTAAGGGAATCAGAGAACGCGAAATAGTTTTCGCTCTTGCTTGGCTCAAGTGTTTCCCATTAGCCATGGACGACTAATGAGTTAGTGTCTCTAACTTAGATGGGGGTTCTCTGTTCGATTTTATTCTCTCCTCAAATAAAAAGACGGGGTCGGTTTTGTTTAACTCCTAAGTCTTTGGGATTAATCACCGAAATTCGGAGTTGGTAATTAGCGATTAAACTTTCTAGTAATCGGTTCAGTCCAGAGCCTTTTACTAAATAGGGAACTGATTCCAGTAAAAGATAAGTTGGTGGTTTTTTTTGAATAATCTTTAATAAACTGTCTAATTCTTTACTTTCGCCATTTCCTTTGGAGTTGGCCTTACTGAATGGTTGACAAGGAAATCCCGCACATAATAAATCGAAATCAGTATTGATTATTTTGCTTTGGATTTCTTGATCGTTTATATCACCTAATAAAAAAGGAGTGTTAGGAAAATTTAGTTGGTAAGTTGCGTGGCAAGATTTATCTTTATCTAAGGCTAAAACACACTTATTTCCTAAATTGCTTAGTGCTAGGTGAAGACCACCTAAACCAGCAAAGAGGTCAACAAATTTCAAATCGCTCAATCTTTTGTCTTGGAGGAAGTGCTGGACAGCCGTTAGATTAATACTATTTCCTAACAAAGAGGCAATTTTGGTTAACGAGTAGTTAGTAGGAAATTGATAGTCAGAGGGGAAACTTTGGAGGGCTAGTAATTCCTGCTGGTTTAAATAACGATAACCATTTTCATAAATGATGGGGATGACTGGATTATGAGTTAAACAAGGAAAACAATTCGGTGCTTTTACTCGGATTCCACTTTGGCGAAAAGTTATTATGCCCTTCCTTAAATCTTGATAATCTTTTCAGTTTTGTAATTCGACATTATATTTATTCTGACGTTTGAGAAAAGGCACTGTGAAGCGCGGAGTAGCCCCATTTTCGGCAATATGTTGTTCTAAGAGTAGTAAATAAGTTAGGTTATCCATAGCAGTAGTTCATTTGTCAGTTATTTAAGTATTGATTGCGAGCCCGAATTTCACAGCCACATAATCCACCTAATTTAGTGATGGTTTGGTGTTTTTGGTCATGAGTGAGAGGATAAAAAAGAAAATCTTTACTTTCTTCGAGATCGTATTCTAGAGCATAAATGTCGAGGTGATTGATAAAAGTTCTTACTATGACAGCATTTTCCGGTAAAAATTGGAAGTGTAAAACTGGTTTAGTTTGAAAATGAGAATAAATAGACTGATTACACTGTGCGGCTTCTTTAGGGACATGTTCTTGTTCTAAAGGAGTATGGAGGAATTCGGCTTTATTACACAGCAAGAGTAGTCTAGTGATTAGAAATTCTTGAAAATCTTGACTTAGTTGTTGCTTAGGTTTTTTGAAGTGATAGAGTTCTTTTTTAGTGTGCTTGTTAGCCAGTTTTAAGAGAGATAAAGGGTTTAAAGAGCGAGTGCCTAAGCGATAATTTTTCTTAATGAGGACTGGTTTAGCACATTGGCCAGTTAGTTTTTCGTTAGTGCGATAAAAATAACTAGTTTCTTTGGTTTCATAATTGTAGTAGCGGAAAACTTTTTGATTTTTGGCTAAGTGCTGACCAGTTTCCGCGTCTAGTTTGTGTTTAGTGATTAAGAGAGCAGGTTTTTGGTCATATTGATAAAGATTTTT